ATCCTTACCATGCTTCAGCAAGTGTCATGGAACTTTTTTTTCTTTAATGGTTAAATTTTTTTAAAAAGACATATTATTTCAAGGGAAAAAATGATATCTCTTCTTATCCCAAGCCACGCCCATCTATTCATTTCCCTGTAAAAATCTAGTTTTAGCAAAGAACCCCATTAAGTCAGGTTAGCAAGAACCCTCTACCCTTGATATCTAATCAGGTTCCTCTCCTTCATCATCCCCAGATGATGTTTCATCATCCTGGCCTCTTTTCAGCAAGAATTTTGTTCCATTGGTTTAGACACAATCCTTCTTACCCCTGACATTCGTTCCGTCTTAGACCTTTTCCATCACCCTTAGAACTGACCCTCACCCTGTCCCTTGGAGATCAACTCCCATTTGCTCATTCAGTATTCTGAATTAAGCTCAATATCTCTCCTCCACTGAAGGACCCTGTTGTAGGGTCCCCATATCCAGCACCTGACCTGAATATATAGGGAGCCTTCCTTGTTGTGTTTAAACAACTATCATTGAATAATTTTTTTCTTTAACACACTCACCTGGTCTGGACTAATGTGCTTCATGGGGTGGGGTGGGGGAGCCAATATAGAAAATCTGGACATTAGGACGAGAGAGATAAGTCATGCTGAGCAGGCACCAGGGGGCCACTTACATAGGAAGATGATTTAGGCTGGGCTCCCCACAGTAGCAATGCCTTAATGCTCTGCTCACTCTCACCATCATCAGTCATTCTAACCCTCTATTCTGCATCCATTCTGGTTTCCTCTCATTTACTTTTGGAGATRGGGGTGGACAATTTCATAAGAGTTGGATGATTTCATAAGTCTCAAATCAGAAACATCAACTAGTCCTCAGCATTATTTAGATTGAGAAACAGTGTTTTTGACTGCTTAATCATCTACCCCAAATATTAAAAAGCATCATCTAAAAGGGCTGTCTGAAAATTCGCCATAAGGATGAACTATAATTAGCCTGACCCCATCACCTACAGCTGGATGTTTAGATTGTGTCTAGTTTCTCCACTCTTATAAACAATGCCTCAGAACTGCATATGTGGTTGATGCTGGCTGTGTGTGT